GAGATTGGCTAATTTTTAACGAGTCATCGGAAGAGAAAGGAAGGAAAGGGGGAGGAGTCAGACCCTGAAGTGACTTAAGTCTGAGAATGCAGCAGGCCTTTGTCTAACCTAAACAAAGACTGTACCCAGTTGGGGGATTAACACATGTGGCTTTACATGTGGGAAAGATAAAAAGACTTGAATCCCTTTCCATAAGCAAAAATTTTACAATGTATAATAAAAAGCCTGATTTTTTTTTTAAATATTTTTTACAGTCTCCTATGTAATTGAACTTACAATTTTATTGGTTGTTTAAATAACCAATAAAGGTGATATTTTAAAGATGACCCAGGGCCGGGCAGTGGTGGCACACACCTTTAATCCCAGCACTCGGGAGGCAGGGGCAGGCGGATCTCTGTGAGTTCGAGGCCAGCCTGGACTACAGAGTGAGTTCCAGGAAAGGCGCAAAGCTACACAGAGAAACCCTGTCTCGGGGGAAAAAATCAACAACAACAACAAAAAAAGATGACCCAGTGTGGAGGAAGGGACAGCCACTTGGGAATGTAGCAAGGTCTCCCATAAGCATTTTGGCAGAGAATAAACTAGCAGCCTCTCTGTCCTTTCAAGGCCTCTTGATAAGCAGGGAGTGGGTTGCAGGAGAGATAGATCAGGTTCATTCATATTTAATATCCTTACTTTTTTTTTTCTTTTCCCTGGCTGTCAAGGACACAGCAAGTTATCACACAAGCCAAGCTAGGCCACCCACCCCAACACACCAATTAAAGAGACAGGTAGTAGCAAAAAGCAGAGAATAGAAATGGATCCAATATGGTCTTATTAGAAAAAGGGTCAAATCAAGGAGTACAGTGATGCCCAGGCCTATGTTCCTGGTTTCAAGGTGCAATTTTGGTTTTCTGTTTCATTGGTTTTGTTAGAGAGCTCAAGAGCACGAGTTACTAGTTTGGTTTTCTTTTCATTTGTTATGTGGTCCAAGCTGGCCTCTGTTTACTGTATAGCCAAAGATAATTTTGAACTCCCTAATCATCCTGCTTTTGCTTTCTGAGTCCTGGGATTATAGGCATGGATCAACACCACATCCATTTTTATAAGGTTCTGAGGATTGAGCTATATTTTGATCCCGAGGTTTAGGTTTAAATAGTGGACAAGAAACCAGACATTGTGGCACATGCCTTTAATCACAGCACTTGGGAGACAGAGGCAGGTTTGATCTCTGAGTTCAAGGCCAACCTGGTCTACATAGAATTCCAGGACAGTAAGGGCTACACAGAGGAACCCTGTCTCAAAGAACAAAAAGAGAAGATAAATGGCAGGTAAATAGAGAAAGCAAAAGAGTGCTTGATTGACAGTCCTGATGACAGTGCTGCCCCACTTGTCATGGGCTTACTTTACCATTGTCTCAGCTCTGGTCCAGCCTGCCTGCTGGATAAGTTCTCAGAGTGTGAGATCGCTTCCTGGGAGGCAGTTTCCTTCTCTGACTGCTGTCAGGACTGCAGACTTTTTCTTGCCCAGCGTGAGATTACTTGGGAAATTTTAATTCTTTGGGATCCATTGTTCCAATAGTTGGGGCTTAAGTGTCTCTCCTTAGAGTATCTCCTTTCCTCCCAGGAAGGTCACATTATCGCTCTAGTGCCTTCAAGAAGGACACTGGAATCTGGCCCAAGAATCTAGCACTCCAGCTCTGACCAGCACTCTTTTTCTTCTAGGGAATGTGCATTTCTTCTCTGGTGGCCTTCTGTTTTCTCACCGTCATCATGGAAGTATCATCATTTCCAAGGATCACATGAATTCGGTTTCCTTCTATGATGGGGTATGTGGTTTTTCAGCCCCGGCTTTGATGCTCTAAAATACATTTCATTTTCCCTTCTCCATTGCTGTGTGACAGGATGTCAGGAACCACAATAGCCATTGAAGCAGGCCAGCAGGGTGATGAGGCCTGCATACTCCAGAACACTTCTATGCTTTTCTAATAAGGCCTGGATCAGAAGAGCCTGCCCCATGCCCAAGTTGGTCATCCTAAAGATAGTAGAAAATAGCTTAAAAAGACCTCCAGTGGCTCTTCACATAAGCCCAAGGCTCATACTTCAGAACTGGAAGGTTTATCCTGTGGTATTGATGGGACTCTAACATATCCTGTAAACAGGAAAGAATTGTATGTGCATCAAAAGGCAAATACTGCACACTTTCTCCGTGAGAGTTTAATACCTCCCTCTCACACACCTAAGTTTAACCTCTATCCCCACAAACATGCTCCCCTAAGAACCGTCATTGTTTACCAGTCTACACTGGTATTACTCTTCCCCTTAGGGAAGGTGGTGGGTCTGAGTTTCCCTCATCCTATGCTCACTGGCCAGAGCCTAGCCAGTCTCTCTCAGTGCAACAGTGGAGTCCAGGGTGGACCTTCCACTCTGTCTGCTCTCAGCCTCAAAGGCTGTTTGGCAGCTAGAACAGAGGTGGAGTGAAGAGATTTGGCTAGATGCTCAATGGATGAATTCATGATCAAACCATTCTTCAACAGAAATCCACTCTCCTAAAAGCAGTTCAGAAATGTGGGCACATCAACTAGGCAGATTGGATGGCCTTATTAGATAATAGAGGGGCTTGTTTTTGGTTTGTTTTGTTTTGTTTTTTAAGAATGTATGTGGGTATGTGCACATGAGTGCAGATGCCTATGAAAGCCAGGAGAGGGCATTGGATCCCTTGGTGCTAGAATTACAGGTGGTAATAAACTGTCTAACATAGGATGTAGGGAACTGAACTCAGATTCTCTGGAAGCACAGCAAACCCTGTTAAATCACTGAGCCATCTCTCCATCCCAAGAGTTTCGATATTAGCTCTTATAAATAGGCTTCTAACATCAGCCAGGCAGTGGTGGCGCACGCCTTTAATCACACAACAGCACTTGGGAGCCAAGGCAGGTGGATCTCTTGAGTTTGAGACCAGCCTGCTTTACAGTGTGAGTTTCAGGACAACCAGGACTACTCAGAAACCCTATCTTCAAAACAACAACAACAACAAAAAAGAAATAGTCATCTAACATCAAGAAAGAAAGTATGAGTCATTTAAGAAACAATACTC